CGGTTAAGGCGGTGGTTCCCCCCACTGGGGTCTCAAAGAAGAAAGGAGGAAAGAAGGGGAAAAAGGAGGAGCCGAAGCAGCGGTCCGCCGCCTCGCGACAGCCCACTGCCGGCCCTCCTCCTCCCCCTACGGAGGAGAAGAAGGACCCGAGCAAGAAGCCGGGTCCTCCGACTCCCCCTGGAGGGGTTGAAAACACCACTGCTGCCAGCTCCACCGTCGCACCTCGACAGAGGGAACTATGGACCACAGTGGTAAAGAAGGGGAAGAAAAAGCCCCCTTCCAAGGAAGTAGGGAGCAAACCAGTTGAAGAGTGCCCGTCGCAGAGCCATATCCCAATGGCAAGAGGCCATGGCGGATTCTGCGACGGGCAGATGGACCACCCACGCCATCCAGCCCTGTCTACCGGAATGGGTAGACAGGCGAGGACGAGGACTTGAGTTCCACCTGACACAGGTACTCACCGGGCACGGTTGCTTCGGTGACTACCTGTGCAGGATTGGTAGGGAGCGTACGACGAGATGCCACCACTGTGCGGCCGGTCGGGACTCGGTGCAACACACTCTCCAAGAGTGTAGCGCATGGGACAAGGAGCGTCGGGTCCTGACCGCAGTGGTCGGCGGAGACCTCTCCCTACCAGCAGTGGTTAAAGCCATGCTGGAGGGAGACGATAAATGGAGGGCCGTCTCCTTCTTCTGCGACAGCGTAATGCTGCAGAAGGAGGAGGCGGAGAGAGAGAGAAGAGGGGAGGCGGTGGGGGGAGGGGGATGACTTCCCCTCCCTTCCATCAACATATCTCCCCCCGCCCCCAAGAGGGGCAGATAAAAGCGGAGCCTTCCCGGGGGTGATATTTACCCCCACCGGGGAGGACTCTTGCTGGAAGGGGCCCACTAGGGAGCCTCCTTCCACATCGGGCAGCCGGAGGAGAGGAAGAATTCAGTCTGGTATCTCTGGAATTGTACCTCTCCTCCGGAATTAGAATTGGGTAGTAACAACCGAGGGAGGGGGTAAAACCTCTCCCTCGGAGTTTACACCGGGCAGTGGCCGGAGGGGAAGGAAAGCACCCGTAATTGCTGGAATTATACCTCTCCTCCGGCGTGTGGAGGACTTCTTCCCACAGCGAATAGCCGGAGAGAGGATGCCGAGCCTATCGGAATCACATCCTCTCTCTGGCGGGAGGTCAGTAGGGAGCGGGGGCTCCCGGCTGGCCTCAGCCCCCCCACCAATCACGGGAGGGCGAGGAAAGGCCGAGATAGCCCGGCCTTTCCCGGTAAAGGATGGCTACAACAAGGGGAGGGGGACTTGAGACCCCCCCTTCCCCCGAGACGAGACCGATAAAAGGTCAAGACCGAGGGAGGGTGAGATGAATGCCGCTGGCGATGCCTCACCTTCCCTCTTTATGGTCTAGGATGGCTATCGGCAGGGGTTTTAGTGGGTATGCCTGGGACATCTTCCCAGGAGAATCCCACATAACCCACGGGACTCCCCCCGGATCCCGTGGGTATCCATAAAGGATTTCCCCTGCCTTAAACCAAAAAAAAAAAAAAGGACGCGCGCACGGTAACCATGGT